GAAGACGGTCCTTTCGGCCCAAAGACGGGGAAATTGGAAACATCGGTGAAATTTTCCCCGTCTTCGTAAAAGGGCTTACGGAGGTCTTATTTCTTGATGGATTCATTTGAAATTTTGTCTGTTGATACACGGCATGACATAGTGCCGTGGTTGGAGGGTTCGACCGAGATCGCGCGGATACTTTCGGCGGCAGCTCTAAAGGCGTGAAAACCTATTATGGCTTAGCTGGCCGTTAGTAGTCGGGCGATTCGGTTCGAATTTGGATATGACAACCACCTAGCGATACTCTAGTGTGGTTGGAGGGTTCGGCCGAGATCGAATGAGCGGAACGGCTGAAAACGCGGAAAACGTGAAATCCGCGTTTCCCCGTATAACGGCGTTTTGGCTCATCCGATTCGGACGAAAATTTAGTAAGATAATGCTAGCTACTTGAGGAGTGCCGCATTAAATTTTGACACCGATCGCTCAATAACTTTTGGAGTTATTGGCGATAGCTGACGATTGGTCCTTGACCATTTCGAAAGTGTGGTGAAATTTCTGATGACTGTTTCCAAATGTCGTCGTGAAGCGTCCCGGGGTTCGACTGCAGGTTGCGGCAGTGGACACTGCGCGCCGGGATGGCAGACCCAGGCGAGATCGGTCGCGATGCGGGTGACATTGGAAACATCGGTGAAATTTGCGCAAATATCTCTAAAAATAGTAACGGCAACCCTAACAATGCTTATATGGCTTGACAGGAAATTTCGATCTGTATACGACAAAGTAAAAAAATACAGGGTGTACCATTTAAGTTATCAAAATGTAGGTACTTAATCAAAAATGAAACACCTATATTGTATTAAATGTTTTAATTTGTTGGTATACCACAATTTAGTACCTATGCCCTTTATAGATACCAAAAATCCACTTGATATATCACGTTCCTGAAAAGAGTTACTAGCATCTCCGCCGACCCTTGCATCTGTCAAATTTTTTCTTTAAAAATTAATATCCCAAAATCTATAATTCCTAGATACAGGGAATATTTAATAAAGTGACCCTAAAATTTAACGTATAATCCAAAAATGCAATAATATTCAGGGTGTTCCATTTAAAAAAACAAAGTTGGTGGTAACTTTCGGTATAAGCGAAAGTACAACAGTTTTGAAAAATTTTAATGTTCAAGGCCGGTAATCTGAGTATTCAAATTTTCAACAAAATCCTGTCACGGTAACTTCGTATCCTTCTAATGAACCAGTTGTGTGAATAACCCTGTATATACAGGGTCTTTCAAAAAGGTGGCGCCAAACTTGAGTGGGATATTGAGGACATTGTGGTAAAATTTTTTTACATATAAATCCCTAATTGAAAATGAGCCGTGTTGGCCCTGGAGCAATTTATGTCCAAAAACGTAATGTTATTGCATTGACACCAAAAGACTGATATTTACCTAATAGCTGTTTTACATTGACAATTTATTGATCAATTAATTCATGAAGTCGCTTCATCAAGAAATTGGACAAGTGTAATGCACCAAATTTCTGCTGTCAAATAACTTCATGAATTTATTCATCAAGTTCTTGACGAATTTTAGAGCATGTTCTAATTTTCGTCAATTNACAGGGTCTTTCAAAAAGGTGTCGCCAAACTTGAGTGGGATATTGAGGATATTGTGGTAAAAATTTTTTACATATAAATCCCTAATTGAAAATGAGCCGTGTTGGCCCTGGAGCAATTTTTGTCCAAAAACGTAATGTTATCGCATTGACACCAAAAGACTGATATTTACCTAATAGCTGTTTTACATTGACAATTTATTGATCAATTAATTCATGAAGTCGCTTCATCAAGAATTGGACAGGTGTAATGCACCAAATTTCTGCTGTCAAATAACTTCATGAATTTATTCATCAAGTTCTTGACGAATTTTAGAGCATGTTCTAATTTTCGTCAATTTCTTCGTGAAGTTCAGAAGTACCAATCCAACAGATTTCCAGCCTCAGATCAGTAATGAGGTTATGTTATTGGAATATGTAAATAATTGTGTGGCGTCGTGCTAGTTTTGCATTGTAAAACTAGCACGAC